GCTCTTCCTGGGTAGAGCCATGAACATAGAGAGGAAAAAGCTCAAAGATGTGGAAGCTGCACACGTAGCCACCAAAACACCTACAACCGAGAAGTAACTGCCAAGAAACCCTCATCTAGCGCTAACAAAAGAACAGGGAAGCAGATCTCTGAAACCATCATGTCGCCAGAGAAGACCACAGAGAAGCACATCCTCCTGTGATAAGAACTGCTTCAGTCTACAATGTTGTTCCTTAGGGACTACAGTAATTTGTTGAGGCTTTTCAGGTTTTTATTTTTATTTTTATAATTAACTGTAATAGTAACAACAACAATAATATAGATTTACTTTTCGGTCAGGCAGCTAGGACTGATAAAAGGGCTGCAACTTGCAAAGTATTTGGTGTAAAATAGAGCCGCCCTCGAGCAGATCATTGAAATAAAAAAGTAGACAATCACTATGACAGTTACTACGAATACTAATTAATTAGGTTTGGACCATCTAGCCAATGGTCCTTCTCCGTTCGGAGAGGACCATTTTATCACAGAGAAGGTGGTGAAGTGGGGACGAAAAAAAAAAAAAGAGGAGGAAAAAGATTGATGCCTTTTGCATGTTATGATTGGCATTGACTCGTTGTCCAAATGTCTTTAGAAAGTTCGCTTTCCTGTCCCAACTGTGGGATTCTATACTTTCTCTATAGCACAAAACAAAATGCAACCCTCTCCCATTTCCCCACCACTACTCTATCACTACATTCACTTCTCTCTACATCTCTTATATTTTAGTTATTAGTCCCCACTCGTGATATATGTGTGTGTGTGTGTGTGTGTGTGTGTGTGTATATATATGTATACATATTTCAAATTGAAACATCAAACATAGAATAAAATTTGTGTTCTTGAGGCACACAATATTGCTCTTAAGCTTGCACAAGAAATACCAAAAGAATCCACCTTTTCTGGCTACTGAGTTGATCTTCATAGTATAAGGTCTAGAATTAATGAAAATTGATGTTAGATTCTGCTTTTCCGCTGTACAAATGGTTTATTGCTATGAGAAATCTTTATGTTTCAAAGAAGCAGAACATACACAGTGAAACTCCACAGGAAGTCAAGAACAAGGACCCGTTGTGTAATCACGTTACAATTCAAATCAGTGTTTTGGGATTTTGCAGGCTTCTTTGAGAACTCCATACAGGTTATTATAATAACTTCTAAATTGTCTTCTTTGATAATTTGAATTTGACTTTGTGCATGATATCTTGAGAATTGAAATTAGCATGAAATTGGAACCTGCTTCCACTTTGTTGCCTACTGAACCTGTTTTTTTTTTTTTTTTATCAAAACCTAACCGGACTTGCTGCCTTGCATTGCAAATCAAATTCATTTTTTCACCTAGAGATCACAAACATGTCAGAAACTTGGAGGATTTTAGCATTGTTTAACCATCCAGCTAGTGTTTTTCTTTTCCTGCAATGAAGAATGGACATAAAAGTAAAGATACTTTCTTGATCTAAAAATCATAGAGACACATGGGGGTATCTAACCTCGTCTCTTGCTTATAATCACTCAAGTTTTCAAGAAAAACTTGAGTGCCATGGAACTCTGTGTTAGATCATTGATTGCAACAGGGGATGTTGTTTTTTGTGATTCACAATTAAAGAATGTAATTAATGCAACTAATAGTTTCATAAATCTATGAAGGATGTCTGTCAGATCCTTAAAAAACACATAGTTGATTCACAATTGCTCACATTTTCAGTATTCTAAGCCATCTTATAGGCTCTATGGTTCTAAACTCATAGGTTAAATTAAGCTTCTGGGATTTCTACAATCTCAAGAGATAAGTCTTCAATTAAACAAATCTTTACAGAAAGTTTTCAAGAATCAGTCTCTCCCTCTCTGCCTTTCTCCCTCCTTCCCTTTCTATTTGCAGTGAGAAAAGAAACTTCTTTTTTAATCAGGAGGTGAATATCACGACAAAAAGAGAGAACTGACCACCTTAGCACGCACACACCCACACGCCCTGTCGTCTTTTCTTTTGTATCGATGTTGGAAAAGGACAGGCTCCATAGCTATATTTTATTTGATGATTCTGTGACAAAAATTAGTCTGCTGGACACTGAAGGACAGTTAGGGGTATCGGCCTTAGCCTAATTTCTACAGCAGAGATTTAGAGAAAACCCCCCACAAAACCTCAATTACTTTCAAGCATCCATTGTCTCCTCTATCCCTAACCTTTCATCCCCTTTGAAGCGAGCCTGCTTTTGTGGTCTAAAACTATTTTAGCAAGTTACATCTGGACTTAACCCCTTTCTTGATTAATGCTCAATATAGCTGTTATATTTGGAGGGACTCACTTGAGCAACTTTTGGGTTGCATTGGAATATTATTCTCCAGCAGAATTATGTATCTCGAGCATGAAAATAACTGCTTGGTACATTGAAAAACTTTCGGTTTTTCATCTAATACAAGCTAAAAGTGACATTGGTTCCTTTCCCAGCTGATGGTGAATTAATTTTTCCTTGTATTTACTATTTCCAGCTATTTAAGGCAGTTCAATCAATCATACCACCTCCTTGTTCTGGAGGAGACACCACTGCAGAATGAGGCATCCCACTGCTGCCTCCTATCTATTCCTTTTCTCCAAATAAGCTTGAAAAATAAACGCATGAGGGCCACGTGCCATCCAGCATCTATTTGGATGCATGGTCTGTTTAAGATGGACATAAAATTGGTCCTTGGGATATCTAAAACCTTAGTTAACTTAAAAAACAACGCATATCTGTTGCAGAGAAATTACCCAGCATATAAACAGTAGAATAGGATATTAAAAAGGTGTCTGAAAATATTAAGAGGTTGTTTTTAAAATGATTTTTATTTGAAAATATATTAAAATAATTTTTTTAATTATATTAACACATCATTCGGTATAAATAATTGTTTTAGAAATATAGTTTGGAATCCAATTCCAAAAAGCTTGAAATACGTATAAACAAAATAGGACAATTGGGGGGGGGGGGGGGGGGTTTGGAATCCAATTCCAAAAAGCTTGAAATACGTATAAACAAAATAGGACAATTGGGGGGGGGGTGCTCAACAATTCTCACTTGCTTACCAACAAGAGAAGAGAATGTGGAAATTGGACCATAAATGTATGGACATTTCTATGTTAACACTCATCATAGCAACTATCTATCATCCCCTTCTTTGTCTCTTTGTCGTTCTCTCTCTCTCTCTGGTGAAGAGAATCAACGAAAATTGTTAACTTTTGGACGCCTTGACATTTTAAGGTGCAAGGGTCTGCTCTAAACTGTAGCATAGACTTGAGCAAACTTTCTTTCTTCTCCAATTAAAGCCCACGAGCTGGTTTCATCTTTCAATGCAGAAAGACTTTTAATTTGTAAAAGTGAACTGATTTATAGACCAACGTGAGTCGCTTCAAGGTGAAGGCTCCCTGGTCAAAAGCACAAAGGTTTTATCCTTCTGAACTATGTCAGGCTCTGCTATGTTCAGACACTGTTAACAGCAGCTAATGATCACTCTGTGGGTGCTGGTTCTGGTTAGCTATATTACATGAAGACAAGTTCACTTTTTGGAGTCTAATTAGACCTCAGTGGCTCCGGTTCTCTGATTCATCATTTCTTTACAGATTCAATCTTGGGTACTTGCTTGTTTTGTTCCTGGAGTTCAATGGTATCTGACCTTTGTTTTCAGATTTTTTATTGTTTTTATTATTATTTTTGTTTATTGGGAATGTTGTCTGTTTTACTAATGTTGATTGGGGTGCGTTTTCTCTCAGTTTGAAGGTGGCGAAGATAGTAAAATGTATGGATTGAAAGTGACTACTAGACACAAGCGTTCAAAGAGGTAAGCTATTGATTCAATCTTTTGTAAGCTTGCAATTATTGTTCTCATTGTTCATTTCTGTTCATTGCTATTCTACTTGATGGGTTTTTTTTTTTTTTAAACTGGAATGGCTTCTGTGGTGGGCTTCATGAGTAAAGTGGAAAATCGGGGCATTCATCACACCTGCTAAAAAATATTGTTTTACAAGTAAAAACAATGAGACTACAGTTGTATAAAACCCCATGAAAGTTTTGGTTTTATTCTCCGAGTTATTTTCCAAGCAGAAAAGACTATGAAACTTTTGTCGTCCAGATGAAATTTTAGAGCTTCAAAAAAGAGGAACAGTGGGAGAGCTCTTCCTAAATCATAAAGAACTTCTTGAAGATGGGATTTTAGAGTATGTTTCCCAGCTTGGAATTTGGGGATTTTTCTTTTTGATTATTTTTTTCAATTTCTCCCAAGTTCCTTCTCTGATAAAGCAAGCAATTAATGAGTAATAGATGCGGTGAATGAAACTGAAAACTGTTTCAAGTTGGGTCTTGGGAAAATTATTGCAAAGTGGATCTTTGATAGGAGGTAACCGTTAACATCTCTAGCCACCTACTCCTTCCCAGTTAAAAAGAAAATCCAGTAATTGTGTTGCAGTAGCTGTGCTCATTAGATAGAGGCAGCCAAGCCTTTTAATCTTTTTCTTCCTTCTTCATTATTTATCCACTTCCGTTTTTATGTTTGCTATTTGTGCTGTGGCAGCTTCCCAGATAAGAAAAGACTCGAGGAAGATGACTTAGATAGTTCCTTTGAAGCATCCAGCTGCATAAAGCTGGTAAGACTACACCTTTTTTTATGCCCTTTTGCTTAAAAAAAATGAAAAGAAAAGGAAGCAGCTCGGTATCTTATTTCTTCTTTACAGCATCCAACCTTTCATCCCCATGTTTTATAAAGACCTCGAGCATAAGGGCAACCAAAACTTAACTGTAAAATGACTTCTTTTAAATATCCTCATCTGCATAAGGTTGTTTCTTCGCCTTCGATTTATTATTCTATTTGTTTAGGTTGGGGCAATGGGATGAATAATTAGCTTAATACATTTGAGTCAAATTTTAGTTATGGTCCCCACTGTGGTGGTTTAGTTGAATGGAATAAATTATTCTTGTGATTTAAATAAAGAACAACTCATATAATTAACTCAAAAGCTAAGCTGATTTGGTAGCTTTTCCCAACACATTAATTCATTAGGTGAATCCTCCTGGATCATAACATAAGAAGCAATTACTAAGTATATGGTTTTTGGATTCAATCTGATTACAGAATATGGGGCACTTGAAATACTCTGCCAAAGCCGAGAAGAAACAATCCCCTAAGACCGAAATGCAAGATTCTTTGAAGCAAGAGGTATGCAACTGAACTTCTTCATTCTCGTCTTGTGCTTTCTTGCTCTGAGTTAAACATTAGTTGAACTCTTTTATGCAGGTTCTACAGCTTGAGAAAAGATTACAAGATCAGTTTCAGGTCCGTTGGGCTCTTGAAAAGGCATTGGGTTATAGGACTTCTTCCCATGAGAGCATGTCTGAGCTGTCAATGCCTAAGGTAAATCCTTGCCATAATAATTTTATGGGAATAGAAATAGCTGTGCTTATTACTGTCATTCAAAGTGAATTTATACAGAACTGGGGCCTTTCAGCAAAACTTGTAACCATGCCAACAACTTGCTGAATTCTTTTCATTTCTTTGGGAAAATCTTCTGATAATTTGTAATTTCAGTTTCTTGTTCTGATTTATGTCACTTAATATGTAAAATGGAATTAAAATGTCAGTGTTCATTGTTAGGCTCAAGGTTTTTGACTTGCTAGTTCCTGTGTTTTCTGCAACTCCAGCCAGCCACAGAATTAATCAAAGAAACTGCAGCATTAGAGTTGGAAGTTGTATATCTGGAACAGTATCTTCTCTCCTTGTACCGGAAGGCATTTGATCAACGAGCATCCTTGGTTTCCCCATCTAACCAGGATCAAAGTTTAAAAACCCCTGTCACAATCCCGGGACGAAGGTTGTTTGATGTTTCCAGGCCTGATATATCAAAGAAGGAAACTTCAGCTAATGAAACTGCTTGCCAGTCACTTACCAATACATGGAAGGAAACCAATAGAATAGGAGGAGAGGAGAAACTATTAGATTCTGGAGTTCATCGATGTCAGTCTTTATTGTCTCACCACACTACATTTTCAAATAGAGCCTCTCCTCCATCAGAATCTTTTGGTAGAGCTGTGCGTGCATGCCATACCCAGCCATTGTCCATGATGGAGGTAGCTGAGTGCTAACACATAAATTATATCTTTGCAGTTTTTAAGTTTTGCTGTTTGCAACAACTACCAATGACGATGGAGCATGTTAAGCACAAGGTGCTTTTTTACTATTGTTTGCCAAAACAATGTGGAAGAACACTGTCATTGGCTATTCATTTTCAAATTCAACAATTACAGAAATAGGGCGAATAATTTCATCAAATGACAATTTTATCAGCCTTGAATGGATTATAAATTGTGTGTTTTTGCAGTTTTCCCAGAGTGCATCAAACATTATTAGTTTGGCTGAGCATCTTGGCACTTGCATTTCTGATCATGTTCCAGAGACACCTAACAAGCTTTCAGAGGATATGATAAAGTGCATGTCAGCTATATACTGCAAGCTTTCAGATCCACCTTTGACACATAATAGCCTTTCATCTCCCAATTCATCTTCATCATCCATGAGTGAATTTTCCCCACGAGAACAATGTGATATGTGGGGTCCGGGATTTAGGAATAATTCATCCTTTGACATACGGTTGGATAACCCTTTCCTTGTTGAAGGTCTGAAAGAGTTCAGTGGACCATACAGTACAATGGTTGAAGTCCCATGGATATATAGAGATAGTAAAAAATTAGTAGATGTTGAAAACTTGCTACAAAATTTCAGGTGAGCCAATCTACCATCTGATTATTACCAGAAAACGTGTTAATAATGTAGCTATCAAGTAAACAGCATGTGTTTTGCTGTTATGTTGAGATTCTTATTATGATTTTTGGGATCTTCTGCTGCAGATCACTTATCTGTCGACTAAAGGAAGTTGATCCTAGGAAGCTAAAACATGAGGAGAAGCTAGCTTTCTGGATCAATATACACAATGCGATGGTGATGCATGTAATGGCACTTTTCGATAGAAATATTTAGTTAACAAGCTAATTCCATGTTTTTTCTTGTTCTGACATGAGTTTCTAACTTCAATATTCTCTAATAGACATTTCTGGTTTATGGGATTCCCCAAAACAATGTTAAGAGTCTCTTTCTACTTTTGAGAGTAAGGGAAACCCTTTCGCATTTTTCCTTTGAGTAAGAGATTTTGTGCAAATATACGAGTTCTTACACTCTTGCTCTGTGCAGGCTGCATATAATGTCGGGGGTCATACATTTAGTGCAGACACGATTCAGAGTTCTATCCTTGGATGCCGGCTGTCTTGTCCTGGACAGGTGGATCTTTAGAGTTTTTCTTGAAACTAAAATTCAGAAGTCATTATTGTTAATATCTTGTCAAAGGGCTTTGGTGTGTAGGGTCTTGCAACTTTACCTGCCTTTTGTTGAGATCCAATGCAGGATTTGGCATGTAGAGTTGAGCCACCATCGTGAAAAATCTTTCAAATAAACAAGGGCATTATTTTTTGTGTCATGAAAAGAACACAGGCATGCTCACACAAAAAAAGACAATGATATATATTTGTATGTTCAATAAGCATATTTGTATAATGATCCTGTAAAAGCTTGTCCCTAATTGTAAAGTAATTCTCGTGGGATACAATAATGCACTTGTCAGTTACTATGTAAATTCATTTGATATAATGATCCTGAAAAAGCTTGTCCCTAATTGCAGTGGATTCGAACATTACTTTCATCGAAGTCCAAATTCAAGACAGTAGAGGATCGGCAATCATATGCAACTGACCATTCAGAACCGCTTTTGCACTTTGCACTATGTTCAGGAAGCCATTCTGATCCTGCGGTACTTCATTTTCCTTCATCTGTTCCAACATTTTAAGTAGATTAGTAGCAGTCATAAGATACTGTGCAGCATGAACATTGTAATCGCAATACTGATTGAGAATAACACAACCAAAATTAAATGCTATATCCTTTTTAAGTGTAAGTTTTTTTGATTAGTTGCCTGCACTTTGTGTGCGCTGCGCCTTTTCACGGCACTCTTTCATAAAGAGCTCATTTTTGTGATACCATGCTTTGGTTTCCAAAAGAAGTAATTTCCTTTTGACTATTCTAAAGTATATTATGAAATATCAGCTCAGTAAAAGGAACTGAACCTGGGTTTTTCAGATTTTGCGGGTTTTGGTCATATTTTCTGTTTAGTTTATCCTCTTCAGATGGAATTTAGACAAGTACTTTTGCCAGGTCCGTGTCTACACTCCAAAGGGAATAATTCATGAGCTTGAAGTTGCGAAGGAAGAGTATATCCGAGCAACCTTTGGTGTACGCAAGGACCAGAAAATCCTGCTTCCAAAGATTGTGGAGTCCTACACCAAGGATTCAGGTTTATGTCCTGCGGTTGTTCTTGAAATGATCCAAAAAACTTTGCCTGCTACTGTAAGGAAGTGTCTGAAGAAATGTCAGCTAGGAAAAGCTCGTAAGACCATTGAATGGATTCCGCATAATTTTACTTTTCGGTACCTGATATCTAAAGAGCTGGTAAAGTGACTGCTTCCGTGTGTCAAAAAGTTTAATAGTATTCGACCTCCTCTATTCATTCACATAGTTCTCAGGGTTCTTATATTTTGAGATTTTAAATTTTTTCCTTGTATATATTAGGAGATGAAGTCTGAAATGGTGGGATAGAACAATGCGATATTTTGTTTTGTATAATGAAATCTCGATTCCGCCTTTTCCGAGCATGGAAGCATTCATGATCTCTGTGATGTTGCCAAATGAAATGAAAATGTGCATCGAAAATATACCGACTGCGTTGTTTTCTTGAGATATTATTTGGTTGATTATAAGTGCAGAATTTTGCATAGGTGTTTGACACAGACCTATCCTATGAAGAAGATGGCTATCATCAGTTGTCTCAGTACTGATCGTGCTGACAATATATCACACGACAGGTTGGATTTCTCAGAACTAGACATGTTCGCCAATGGTTTAGACTCATTGAATGAAATTCCTTCATATTTGACTCTGCCATTTGTTCGAAGAATCCCTACCACACTTGTTTATACCGGAAACTGAAACTTCGTAGAGCATTGTTCTATTCCTGGCAAGACCATTCTCCCTCACCTTGTGAGACTGAAAAAGATCCTAGTAACTAGAGGTTCGTATAAAGTATAGCTTTTGGGGTTGTACATGTGACCCTAGCCGTTGTTCGAAACAAAAATTGTTTGGTTGAAACAACTTTTGATATTGAAGTCATAGATAATATAGATAAAAAGCTAGAAAATCTTTAAAATGAAACTTCTTTAAAAAAAAAAAAAACTCGTCTCAAGTAAGTTTCCAAGTAACATCAATTATTTGTGCTGTGAGGATTCATGGCTTAATGATCAATAGATATTTATGGGATAAAGAAGGGGGTGGGTGAACATGTGATTGGCAGTCTATCGGAGCTCAATTATTACCAGGCTATCAGTGCAGATAGTTATTGCAGGATGGTTGTCTCCACAAATATGTTCACATTCTTCATCAGTGAAAACCATCTACAGAACAAATATTTGGAAGCAGTGTAATGACTCGTTCCATTCGATCTATGCTTTTGGAAAGATCATTTTTCACATATTTTATCCATGGTGAAAACTAGATGTAAAGCCTTAAGATCTTGTAGCATGGTTCTTGAGTCTGCATTAAAATTGAGACAATTGTGCTTATGAACTTACATCCGTGCAAATTTAATCTCTGGCAATTAAAAGAGAGAAAAAAGAAGCAACAATCTGCATGTCCCCTACTCCTAAACATAAGCACTGAAATCTTCAAAAAAGGTAAAAACAACTCTTAAACAAATTCCAACGATGCACAAACACAGTTAACCAGAGATTTAACTAGCTATAACTTGTCTAATATGGGCTTTCCCCTATAATATTCCCGGGAGGATTATAAAAACAAATAGTTAAGCTAGCTTGGTCCTTCACGCATGTAGCTTGTGCACACCCCAACTCCAAAGATTTCCTCCACACCACCTGTGTGTAAACTCCACACCTATGGCTTGATGCACAGGAATTGTTAGTGTGGTTATAGTAATTCTTCTCTTGTGCCCAGTGATCAACAGCCATGAGTGGAGTCACAGCCATGCCACTAGCCCATAACTGATTTGCACCATACTTGCTGCTGCTCAAGTTTGCAAACTGGCAACCCATTTTGTTCCTTTGGTACCTGACTAGTCTGCTTGTGGCATTGGCTAGCATCTGGCTCCACTTGAGAGGGCCAACACCAACCGCTGCTCTTGCTTGGTTGTGAGACTGTAGGAACTCTTTAGCCACATTTGGCAGTGGAACTGGAGCTATTGTGACTTGGGTGGGTTTATGGTCTGATGCAAGAGCTGCACCATGGGTTGAGCTGTGGCATAAAGCTAGAAACAGAATGGGAAGCAAGGAGTAGCAAGCCATTTTTTCAGCTAGATTTTTACAGGGTCAAGTGATTTTCAGCTGAGGGTCCAGTTATTAATAGATTTGCTCGTGTGGTCTGGCTATGCTTAGGTGGTATGACGAGGTTGTCCTTCACAATGCCACCCTCACTTCCACATAGTTACGGTTTATAATGTCAATTTGCCACCATTTTTTCCCCCGAGGAATCAATTTGATTAATTGGAAGATTCATGTTGTTCCCTAGATAATTCTATGAAATAATTTTTGATATGACAGAAAGGGGTGAAGGCATCATCCGTGATGCATCGGGCCAGGTGATTTGTTGGGGACTGAGACAACGAGCCTCGAAACCATGGGAAGGGTCAGACAGTGCCGCCCGCCCCTTGACATTGTTTATTGACTCGTGTACAGCAATCAAATTGGATGGCAAACGTGAGAGTACTGTTGACTTTGATCTGAAATGCTGTGCAAATCTCAGTGAAACCTGGTGTTCCCATGTGGTCTGTGCATTTATGAGTGGGAGATGAAGGCTTGATTCTCAACACGCCTGGGCAAGATTTCTTGTTTCAGAGGATGGATGTGAGCATGCTCGGGCTAAAGAACTGCCGCCAACTAGAAGATGATGCAGAAGGTTTGGCGTACAGTATCTTCTATGATTTATTTATCAGGACCTCTTGATTACCATGCCAATCTCCATGATCACTGCTTGGCTTCACGCTGCAAACTTCCTTGTAATAGTGGGTGGAATGAGTTATTGAACTGTGGAAACGTTATTTTTGCTTGTGTGTGACATGTTTAGCTGCCCAAGGTTGCAGTAATGGATGGCTCCGTTTATTTCCGTGAGTTGGACTTACCATGAAGCTCTATTGTAGGAAATAGGAATATACGTGGGAGCTGGGCTGATCTCACAGACGAATGAAGTATGTATTTGACCCTCTAAAAGAGCGGACTCTCCACTGCTTTCTTCGCTGTTCCTTTTACTGATAGCCTGACTCGAATTTACAGCTCGGCCTTGTATTTATCCAGACTATAACGATTCATCACAATTTGATCTATTCATGCTATATTTTAAAAATATTTATTTTAAATTAATATATTTTTAATATTTTTAAATTATTTTGATATATTAATTTTTTAAAAAAATTTAAAATATTATTAACATGCTTTTTTAAATAAAAAATACTTTTAAAAAAATCATAATCATATTCCTAAATATGTTCCACAGCAGGTATGTTATTTTTATTTCTTAGAATTTTTATTTAAAAAACCTTATGATGTAGTATAAATTATATAAAAAAAAATTCATTACAAAGGATATATTTAACAGGTTTATTCAGAGTATTTAAAAGTATTTAAGTTAAAATAAATTTTTAGAAAACAAGATCTTCAATGAGTAATTTATTAAATAATGATTATTAAATTTTAATCAATTTATTTTATTTTTATATATAAAAGGAGCTTAATCCATTAATTTTATAAGCTAATTAATTTTAATATCTAGAGGTTTATTTATTTCCTTGTGTCCTGTGTTTTATGGAATTCTAAGACAGGAGAGGATTATTTTATTGTGTGTGTAAACATAAGAGGCTAATGAAGAATTATTCCCATCTATGTTTTGGATTCCAAGGGCAGTATCATGGGATATTCGATCAAGAGTTTTTTTTTAAGCTAGAATTTTATTTAAAAAATATTATATTTTTTAATTTCTAGAGCTCTGTAACTTAGTTATAATTTTTAGAATTTTTTTTATTTTTTTTTATGTTTGAGGCTTTATTTGATATACTTTGAGTTTTATTTTAATTAGAGTTGATGTTAACTCATTAGATTAATTATAGCTTATTTTATTTAAAGTATAAATATTATCATTTAAGACAATAATTTTTTTTTCATGAAGTTGAATACAATATTGTCACATATTGTGTGTGTCATAGAAGAAATTTTTTTAATTTAATTTTTTATTAAATTACTCTAACTTATTAAAGAATTATTAATAAAGTTTCTTAGTATTTTTTATATTCTTCATTCATGTTTGGTTATTGGTGCCTAGTGCTCATATGTTTTCAATTACTAGTAATTAAAGATGCCAGCACGCAGGCCATTTTATTTTATTTGACGGAGAGAGAAACATGCACAACTTTTTAATTAATACACAAATCTAATTCTAACATTTAATCAGTAATTAATCGTGTATCTCTTAGCCATAAATATCCGAATTCACATGATTTCATATTGTGAACAGATATGATAGCACGAGAGTGACAACTAGGCAGGAATTAATGGACCCACTTAGAAAATGATAAATATTATTTTGATATAATTTTTAATAAAAAAATAACTTTTAAAAAAATTACTACTGTATTTTAAAAAACCCTTTACCGTTAATTAGCTCAAGCTTAGCTCTCCGTTGTTGTTAAAGAGAAATTAACTAAGCATCCCTTTTCGTCTTCTACAAATCATAGACTCTAATTTAAATCTTTTTATAACTTCTCAAAAATAGCAACGCTAAACATCTTAAACAATAAAAAAAAAACATGATAGATAAATAAATAAATAAATACTAAATAAACTCAACACTAGCTATTTTATTTATATTTTAGGGTTATTAGAATAATAAATATTTGTAAAAATATTTTTTATTTAAAATTATATTGAAATAATTTTTTAATTTATTTTTAATATTAACCCATTAAAACTGAAGAGAAAGTTTAGGTTTCTGTTAAGGAAATAATTAGGATTTGCATTTAGTTTAATAACTCCTAGTTCATAGGATTGTTAGTTAATGTTTTCCATGATTTTCTACGTGAATATCTCCTCTGCTGAGATTATGTAAGGTTGTATAAAATCAATATTTTTCTTCAATAATAATAATTGATTCTGAGCCTGCATTATTGTCATTTTCTACAACATTGTGGTATTAAAACCTTTCTACTTAAATCAAAGCAGTAGTCTTTGAGTTTTCTTTGCAGCAGCAAAGAAACATGACACCGGAAGGAAACTTTGTGCAGCCAGCCATTCCTCGTTTTAATGGCTATTATGACCACTAAAGCATGTTGATGGAGGATTTCTTGCGCTATAAGGAATATTGGGGGTTGATAGAAAATGTCTATGTTAAGACTGAAAGTGACATAGAACAGATATAAATGCAATGAAAGAGGATTGATGAGTTAAAGCTGAAAGACATGAAGGTGAAAAATTATCTTTTTGAAGCCATAAATTGGACGATATTGGAAACCATCCTTATAACAGATACTTCCAAACAAATCTGGGAATCAATGAAAAAGAAGTATGAAAGAAGTGCTAGAGTCAAAAGATCACATTTGCAAGCTCTCCGTAGAGAGTTTGGAACCTTAGAGATGAAAGTTGGTGAAGGAGTCTCTGAGTATTTCTCAAGAGTACTAACAGTTGCTAACAAAATGACAACATATGGAGAGCGAATGACTGATGTTACAGTGGTGGAGAAAATTCTCAAATCATTGAGTGAGAAGTTTAGTTATATTGTCGGTTCAATTGAAGAATCCAAAGATATTGATCAACTCTTAATTGATGAACTCTAGAGTTCCTTGATTGTCCAAGAGCAGAAATTCAAGCGTCACATAGAAGAAGAACAAACACTCAAGATCACCAATTCTAAAGATAGATTCAATGCCAGAAGACGAGGGTGAGGTGCATACAGAGGCAAAGGTAGAGGGAGAAGCAGTCAGTTCTACAACAACAAAGCAACAATAGAGTGTTTTAAGTGCTATAAGCTTGGACACTTTCAATATGAGTGTCCAAGCTGGGATAAAGAAGCTAACTACGCTAAATTAGGAGAAAAAGAAGAAATGCTACTCATGTTATATGTGGATATGAATCATGCTCGAAGGGAAGATGTCTGGTGTTTAGACACTGGGTGCAGTAACCATATGTGTGGTGGCAAGAGCCTATTCCATATGATAAATGAGAACTTTAGACAAAAGTTGAAGTTGAAATAACATAAGAATAGATGTGTTGGGAAAAAGCAAAGTGAAATTGAAAGTGAATGGTCTAACACATGTTGTTAGTGACTAACGTATTTTTTATCCCTGATTTAAAGACTAATCGTCTTAGCATTGGTCAAATTCAAGACCAAGGGTTAACAATCCTCATTCAACATGGATATATGAACATCTATCATCCGGAGAAAGGGCTTATTATACATACTGAAATGACAGCTAATAGGATGTTTTTACCGTTAACAAATTCACTACATCAGAAACCAGCCTGTCTTTATAACTCAATAATAGATTTAGCACATTTGTGGCACTATCGATATGGATATTTGAGCTACAAAGGATTGAGAGCTCTTTAAGTAAAGAATATGGTGCATAGGATACCTTAGTTCTAGATTCCATCAATAGTATGCGCTACCTGCATGAGAAGCAGCACATAGATCTAATTCCAAAGCACAATAATTGGAGTGCCACAAGGAAGCTTTAGCTCATCCATGCAGATATTTGCGGACTGACATCTCCTATTTCTAACAGCAAAAGGAGGTACATTATATGCTTTATTGATGACTTTACTAGAAAAGCATGGACTTATTTCTTAGTAGAGCAATCTAAAGCATTACATATGTTCAAACGTTTTAAGAATTACGTTGAAAAAGAAATAGGAGGCTATATAAAATTCTTAAGAACAGATCGAGAAGGGGAATTCACATCCCTAAAATTCAATGAGTATTGCATTAAGCATAGTATCAAGCGGCAATTGACAGCAGCATATACTCTACAGCAGAATGGAGTAGCTAAAAGAAAAAACAGAGCAATAATGAATATGGTTCGCTGTATGCTAACTGAAAGGAGAATTTTCAAAAATCTCTGGCTAATGGTAGTAAATTGGACAATATATGTTCTCAATCGAAGTCCTACTTTGACAGTTCAAAATCAAACACCTAAAGAAGCTTGGAGTGGCATTAAACCTTCAGTAGAACACTTCAAGATCTTTGGATGCATGACTCATGTACATATTCCTAATGTAGAAAGGACAAAGCTCGATGCCAAAAGCATTCCTTGTATGTTACTGGGACTTAGCGAAGAATCTAAGGCTTACAGACTCTATGATCCAGTTGAGAAGAAAAATATAATCAGCAGGGATGTAGTATTTGATGAAGAAAAATCTTGGGATTAGGACCAAAGCTATAATGAACAATTGGTGGCTGATCTAGAATGTGGAGATGAAGGTGATACTGGAACATTCGTGAATGAGGAAGACATTCCTAAAGAACTGGAAAATAGAGCATATATAAATGAAGACTTAATTGCCAGTCTTAAGCCTGGTGAGAATCGGGGAGAATCATTAAATTTTCATGAAAATATTCTTAGCAGTCCTCAACCTAGTAAGAATAGCAGGGCATCGCCAGGTTAGTATGGTGGTAATTCTCAACATGGTGAGAATAAAGGAGAATCATCAGTTTTTCATGAAAGAAGACTTAGAGGACCTCCAAGGTGGATAAAAGATTATGTAACTAGGGAACTTTCAGAGGAAGAAGATGCAAATGTTAACTTGATTTTATTTACTTCAACAGATCCAGTACAGTTTGAAGATGCAGTAAAATATACACATTGGAGGACAACAATAGATATTGAAATCAAGGCCACAAAGACGAACAACACTTGGGAACTTACTGATCTGCTTGTCGGTGCAAAGAAAATTGAAGTAAAATGGGTTTATAAGACCAAACTAAAAGAGGATGAAGAAATAAACAAGTTCAAGGCACGATTGGTGGCCAAAGGGTATGTGTAGCAACAAGGGATAGACTATACAGAAGTATTTGCGTCGGTTGTAAAAATAGATACGGTGAGAATGATTGTGGCCCTAGCAGCTCACAAATGATGGATATTATATCAACTTGATGTCAAGTCTGCTTTCTTATATGGAGAACTTAATGAAGAAGTCTACGTAGAACAGCTGAAAGAATATGAGAGAAAGTAGAATCCACAGCAGGTATACAAACTGAAAAAAAACTATTTATGCACTGAAACAACCTCCACGAGCTTGGTTCAGCCATATTGAAGCACATTTTATAAATGAAGGGTTTGAGAAGTGTTATAGTGAGCATACTTTGTTCATTAAAACTGACAGGGAAAGTAATATTCTTATTGCCAGTTTATATGTAGATGATTTAATATTTACTGGCAATAATGAATTGATTTTTGCTAAGTTTAAGACATCCATATTGAGGGAGTTTGACATGACTGATCCAGGTAGAATGCGTTTCTTTCTTGGCATCGAAGTTCTACAAAGACCTGAAGGCATTTACATTTGTCAATAAAGATATGCTTCAGAGGTATTAAAGAGATTTAAGATGGAAAACAACAACTTAGTCCATAATCCTATTGCCCCAGGATGTAAACTTTACAAGGATAAGAATGAAACTTGCATTGATGAAACTTTATTTGAATAAATGGTGGGCTGTCTTATATATTTAACAGCTATAATACTAGATTTAATGTTTGTAGTTTGTTTAATTAGCATATACATGGCTAAACTGACTAAGTTATACTTATTGATTGCCAAGAGAATTCTGCGCTACTTAAGAGGAACTACTAAACTTGGGATCTTCTACAAGAAGGGTGGGCGTGAAGGATTAATTGGATACACTAACAGTGACTATGCAGGTGATCTAGAAGATAGGAAAAGCACATCTAGGTATGCCTTAATGATAGGATCTAGAGTTGTTGCCTGGTCTTCCAGAAAACAGCCTATAGTCACATTTTCAACTACTGAAGCAGAGTTTGTGGTTACAGCTGCATGTGCTTCGCAAGTTATTTGGATGCAACAAATACTTGAAAAACTAAGTCTGAAGGAAAGCAAGGGCACTACAATTTTCTGTGATAACAGTTCCACAATTAAGTTGTCAAAAAACTCTGTGTTACATGGTCATAGCAAGCACATTGATGTGCGATTCCATTTTCTTCGTGATCTTACACAAGGAGCAGTTAAATTAGTCTACTAAGGAATACAAGAACAGCTAGTAGATGTAATGGCAAAACCTCTCCCATTAGCTTAAGGGAGGGAACGGAGAGTGTAATGTTTTGAATAAATAAGTAGGAAAATACAATAAAGCCCTTGGTGGCTTAAAGTGTAGGTATAAATGAATGAGGGGTAGTGTAGTAATTCAACAAAACTTGATAAATATAAATAGAAAGTAAAAAAAAAAACAAAACAAAATAAATGATCTGAAATTAGAGAGAATCGGCAGGAGAAAGAAGGGAGAAAAAAGAAGAAGAGAAAAGAGAGAAATTAGAAGAAAAATAGAAAGGAGTTGAAGGAAATAAGTTTAAAGGTAAGATTATATATAAATATGTGTTGATTAAGTTTTAATTTTGGTTTTGATAAATGTTAGGGTTTTGAAAATTTGTGTTTTGGGTTTGATTGATGAATTAATTGAATTTTATGGGTTGATTGTTATGGGTAATGGATTATTTGGTGGATTTTGAGAGATTGAATTGAAAGATGATGATTTTGAGTTATGATTTTGTTTGAATGGTGAAATTATGTTAGAAATAAGGAAAGAACAGTGGGTTTCTGTTGAAATTCTGGGTTGGAGGTTGAAGATGACGAAAATTCATTTTGGTCCTTCAATTTGTGGAAATTACAGTTTAGTCCCCAAACTTTGGAAAATTTACAGATTGGTCCCTGGGGCATATTCCGAGATTCTGAACAGAATAAAAGATAAATTATGGGCAGAATTCCTGTATAGTTATGAAATTTTAACACTTTCAATTTGGTCCTTCAATTTGACAAAAATTACCATTTAACCCTAAAAATTTGATAAAATTCCAGAATGGTCCCTGGAGTATAATGAGATGATCTGGACAGAAATGAGGATTGATTATGGTCGGAATTTCAGTATATTAATGGATTTATGATAAGTTTAGTTTGGTCCTCCAAATGGATAAAGTTACAATTTGACCCTTAAAAATATGAGAAATTACAGATTAGTCCCTAGCTGTAATATTAGATTTTGCAGATGGGTTAGTTAGTGAAGTATTACCAATTTTATTATTTGTTTTATTATGGATTAGATTTTGAGAAAACTGTTAATTTTTGGGTTGTTGGAATATAACTAATTAGTTCAAAAATATATAGGGTTATGGAATATATCCTTAAATAAGTGTATTAAATAGGTTATATATTCTTTTGAGTCATTCTTGAATATGTCTCCTTTGTATTCAGATAATCCTGATATTCTACCGGCAGGACGTCAGTAGGATTTTCTTCGGTGTTTGCTTTTGATTTTTGTTTGCTTTCGAGTCAGGTGAGTGGATAATTTTCCATATGCATGAGAAATATTATAAATATTTGATTTGTTAATATGAATTGGATCATGCTTCTTGATAATATATATGTTGGCTATTATCCTTGTTATGATAAGCATGATCATTTGTTGAATCCGAATTCTTGATATGAACCAGTATGTATTTTGGATTGACTTCTGAATTGATAGCTCCTCATTTGATTGATGTCATGAGTTGAGCCTTGAGATATTAATATGTCTGTTTGAGTATGATTATGACCCTATGGTATGTCAGTCAGAATACCCATGCTAACAGGGTAGTGTTAGTCTTTGTGCACATCGTATCTGAACCCTAGTTGGTCGGGGGAGTCACCAACCTGTGTGGACTGATCATCCCACAGTACAGAGCCTCATGCTCATTGCATTTTGATTTTCTGACGATTTTACCATATGACATTCTTGTTATGGCCTATTTGAGAAACCTTTTTATAAGAACCTAAATTCATACTTGTATATATATTTCTCATTATTGTATTATCTCGTGTGTGTATATTGAATGTTATCTACTCACTGAGTTGTTAAACTCACACTCTCATTATTTATCATTTTCAGGCTTATAGCTTGATAGCAGGTCACTTTTGTTGGACCTTCAGAACCTGCTCTTTTGGTTGTAATCCGTGCATTTTCCTTTATGTCTAATTAGTGCTCCAAAACTATAAAATTATATTAACTCTTGTATTAAGACAATTCAATTATATTATGAAGTTGATTTTGTTATTAATGCTGCGTTGAACTCTGATTGAGTTAGGATAAATTTGTATGTAAGTTTGGGTTCGCATAGGTACGGAACCTTGGAGGGGAACCTTGCCTATATGCCGGTCATGGATCCGGGATTCGGGTCGTGACAAACTTGGTATCAGAGCTTTAGGTTAAAGAAGAAACAATAGTATAATTAATTTCATAATAAGTGGAGCATTAGGATCCGTATTATCTTGTTTATTGGTTTTGAAATTTTGAATTCTCATCAAGCATGTCTTCTTCCTTATGACTGATATGCTTTCCTATAATTTATTGATAATTATCATGTTATTGTTCTAGCATGAATTAAGTGTTCTAACTTTTATTTTAGGAAATGCCGAGGAAAAGACAAATAGCTAATACTATTAGAGTAGATGATGATCAGGATGATGTTCCAATTGTGAGGTTGAGAACCGCAAGGCAGAGAAAGAGGCGCGGTGCACCTGTGCCTCAACATGTTGAGGAGGTACCTCCACCAGTGGAGGAAGAGCCTCAGGAGATAGAAGAGGAAGATATGGTTGATGAAACAGGTGTGGGGATTGCTGACCCTGAGCCTGTTACAGAGGTTCAGCAACTTAGCCAGGTTGTGCGGACCTGGATAGAGTTTTCTATGGAGAGAGATAGAAGAAGGGATAGAGATGTAACCTCGACATCCCACATTGTTCAGGGAGTTAATGTGCCGTTGAATGACTTCATGAAGTTTACACCTTCTATTTTTACTGGAATGGACAGTTCAGAGGATCCTCAGAGGTTCCTAGATGATATTTGGCGACGGTGTGAAGCTTTGGGATGTACAGACCACCGAGCTGTGAGTTTGGCATCGTTCAGGTTGGAAGGAGATGTGGCAATCTCTTGGTTTGAGTCTAGGAAAAGAGCAAGACCAGTAGATGCTCAGTGGACATGGAAGGAGTTTAGCTCCATGTTTTTAGACAGGTTTCTTCCTCAGAGTGTCAGGGATGCTCGATTTTATGAGTTTGAGAGGCTATCTCAAGGGAGCATGACAGTGGATGAGTATGATCTGAAGTTTACTCAACTGTCTAGGTATGCAGAACATCTTTTACCTACTGAGGAGTGGAGGGTGAAGAGGTTCATTAGAGGACTTAAATCCTCTGTGTATATGATGATGGTGTCACATGTGTTTCCATCCTACTCCTCAGCTGTAGATAACGCCAGGTTGATAGAGGCGCGAGAATTAGAGGATATGACTGCAGGCCAGTCTAAGAGGCCTAGAGAAGAGGGTCAATCCTTTAGGCAACACGGATTGAGTGCAGGTCCGTCTAGGGGACGAAGTGGCCGTCAGGGCTCATGGGTTCAGAGGAGGTTTAGACAGAAACCGTCAGGTAGTGGCTTGGGTGGTCAGAGTGGCAGTAGTAGTACTCAGAGTTTAGTTCAGACAGCACCTCGTAGTTCATTTGTTTCACCTGGAGATAGTTCTTCATGTCAACACTGTGGAGGAGGTCATACTAGTGCAGAGTGTTATAGAAGGACTGGGGCTTGTTTTAATTGTGGCCAGATAGGTCATAGGATCAGAGAGTGCCCGAGGAGACAGTTATCAACTTCAGGATTATCTGCTTCAGTCCAGCATCCTATTCAGGCACCATCGACGAGCCAGTTTGTGGCTCATGGGGGTAGAGGTTTTGGTGGTCGTGGTCAGAGAGGCCGGGGTGCAGGTGATAGAGGTCAGATACAGCAGGGTCAGGGGCATGCCAGAGTTTTTGCCTTGACTCAGCAGGATGCTCAGGCATCCAATACAGTTGTTTCAGGTATTCTTCTTGTTTGCTCTTTTGAAGCAAAGGTGTTGTTTGATACGGGTGCAACCCATTCATTTGTGTCTCCATATTTTGCTATGAGGTTAGATAAACAACCAACCTTGTTAAAATCCTCAATTTCAGTCTCCACTCCCTTAGATGAATTAATATTGGTGAAGTATGTGTATCTGGATTGTGAAATAGAGATTGGAGATAAGATCTTTATGGGAGACTTAAATGTCTTAGATATGGTTGATTTTGATGTAATTTTGGGAATGGATTGGTTGGCAAAGCATAGGGCTTCAGTAAATTGTTAGGATAAGAAAATACTGTTTGATCTAGATAAAGAAGTTGAGTTGATATCTCAAGGAGATAAGATTGGGTCTCCATCAATTATGTTGTCGGCTATCTCGAGGAAAATGGCTCGAAAAGGGGTACAATGTTACTTAGCATATATAGTGGATGTAGAGAAAGAAGTCCCTCAGTTAGACCAAGTCCCTATAGTCAGGGAGTTTATCGATGTCTTTCCCGATGATTTACCTGGATTGCCTCCATATAGGGAGATTGAGTTTTGTATTGACTTGGTTTCGGGTATTGAACCAATATCAATGGCACCATATAGAATGGCACCAGCAGAATTGAGGGAGCTGAAGGAGCAACTGCAGGATTTGTTGGATAAAAAGTTCATCCACCAAGTGTGTCCCCTTGGGGAGCCCCGGTGTTGTTTGTGAAGAAGAAAGATGGGTCATTGAGGTTATGTATAGATTATAGACAACTGAATCGGGTGATAGTTCGAAATAGATACCCACTCCCTCGTATTGATGATTTGTTTGATCAGTTGCAGGGAGCTCAATTCTTTTCTAAGATCGATCTTCGATCTGGGTATCATTAGTTGAGAATTAGGGAGACAGACATTTCAAAAACAGCTTTTAGAACTCGGTATGGTCATTATGAGTTTTTAGTGATGTCTTTTGGGTTGACGAATGCACCAGCAGCTTTTATGGATTTGATGAATAGAGTGTTTGGTCAGTTTATTGATCAATTTGTGATAGTTTTTATTGATGATATTTTGGTGTATTCGAGGTCTAAAGAGGAGCATGAGCAACACTTGAGAATGGTGCTTCAAACTCTGCGAGATCATCAATTGTATGGCAAGTTCTCAAAGAGTGAGTTTTGGTTGGATAGTGTATCATTTCTTGGGCATGTAGTGTCAAGGAATGGGATTGAGGTTGATCCTCAAAAGATTGAAGCAGTTAAGCAGTGGCTTAGGCCTACTTCAGCAACAGAGATCAGAAGTTTCTTAGGTTTGGCCGGTTATTATCGGAGGTTTGTGGAGAACTTTTCTCGGATTTCTGCACCATTGACTAAGTTAACGCAGAAGAATGTTAAGTTTCAGTGGTCTGAAGCTTGTGAGAAAAGTTTATTAGAGTTGAAAGAAAGATTGACTACAGCACCTATTCTAGCAGTACCATCAAGTTTTGGTGGTTACACAGTGTATTGTGATGCTTCGAGAGTGGGGTTAGGATGTGTTCTAATGCAGCATGGCAAGGTTATTGCGTATGCTTCACGACAGCTGAAGAAGCATGAACAGAATTATCCTACACATGATTTAGAGATGGTGGCTGCCATTTTTGCTTTGAAGATTTGGAGGCACTACTTGTATGGTGAAACTTGTGAGATTTTTACAGATCACAAGAGTTTGAAATATATATTTCAGCAGAGAGATCTAAACATGAGGCAGAGGAGATGGATGGAACTGCTGAAGGATTATGATTGTACTATACATTACCACCCGGGTAAGGCAAATGTAGTTGCCGATGCTTTGAGTAGAAAATCATCAGGGAGCTTAGCTCATATTCAGGAGATACGAAGACCTCTGATTAAGGAGCTGCATGAGTTAGTGGATGAAGGAGTCAGATTTGATCTTAGTGAAGCTGGAGCAATGATTGCTCATTTTCAGGTTAAGTCAGATTTGTTTGATAAGATAAAAGCAGCTCAGAAGAATGATGAGTCACTACTTAGGATCAGAAATGAGGTTGAGCAGGGTAAGGCTGCAGGTTTTGTGATACGTGATGATGATGTACTGAGATATAGAGATAGGCTTTGTGTACCTGATATAGATGATCTGAGGAGAGAATTGATGGTAGAAGCACATCAGACAGTTTACACAATGCATCCAGGTTCCACCAAAATGTATAAAGACCTTAAGGTATGTTATTGGTGGAATAGGATGAAGGCTGATGTAGCAGACTTTGTTTCTAGGTGTTTAACTTGTCAGAGGGTAAAGGGTGAACACCAAAAGCCTCCTGGATTGTTGCAACCATTGTTGATTCCAGAATGGAAATGGGAAAGGATCACAATGGACTTTGTGACAGGATTGCCTAGGAGTCAGGAGGGTTATGATTCGATATGGGTGATTGTTGATAGGTTGACAAAATCAGCCTATTTTCTGCCAGTTAAGATTACTTATGGATATGTAAAGTTGGCAGAATTGTTTATTAGTGAGATTGTACGGTTGCATGGAGTGCCAATCTCGATAGTGTCAGATAGAGGTCCACAGTTTACATCGCGGTTTTGGGTGAAATTCCAAGAAGCTATGGGTACTAAAGTGCAGTTGAGTACAGCTTTTCACCCACAGACAGATGGTCAGTCTGAGAGGACTATTCAGATCTTGGAGGATATGCTAAGGGCTTGTGTTATGGATTTTGGAGTTGGTTGGAGTAAGTTCCTACCATTAGTGGAATTTGCTTACAACAACAGTTATCAGGCTAGCATAGAGATGGCACCTTATGAGGCTTTGTATGGCCGGAAGTGTAGATCACCAGTTTGTTGGTTTGAGATTGGTGAGAAAAGGCTAATGGGACCAGAGTTGATTCAGATTACCTCAGAGAAAATAGAGGTAATTAGAAATAAGCTTCAAACAACTCAGAGCAGACAAAAGAGTTATGCAGATAGAAGAAGGCGTGACTTAGAGTTTTCAGTGGGTGATTGTGTGTTTTTAAAAGTATCACCGACAAAGGGAGTATTCAGGTTTGGGAAGAGAGGTAAGTTGAGTCCTCGATTCATTGGACCGTATGAGATTCTGGAGAGAGTTGGGGCAGTTGCTTATAGGTTAGCATTACCACCAAACTTGTCTTCTATCCATCCAGTATTTCATGTTTCCATGTTAAGGAAGTATATGACAGATCCATCGCATGTGTTAGAAGTTCATCCTGTTGAATTAAGGGATGATATGGTTTATGAGGTGCAACCGGAAGCTATAGTCGTCAAGTGAGGAAAAAAGCCATAGTCGACCGTCAAGTGAGGAAGCTTAGGTCAAAGGATATAGCTTCAGTGAAAGTGCAATGGAAGGGTCATTCACGTGAGGAAGCGACATGGGAGCTCGAGGATAAAATGCGTGAAGAGTATCCTCATCTTTTCGATAATCTCGGTAAGTATTCAATCTTTCTTATTAAGTTTCGAGGACAAAACTTTTATAAGGTGGGGAGATTGTAATGTTTTGAATAAATAAGTAGGAAAATACAATAAAGCCCTTGGTGGCTTAAAGTGTAGATATAAATGAATGAGGGGTAGTGTAGTAATTCAACAAAACTTGATAAATATAAATAGAAAGTAAAAAAAAAAAAAACAAAATAAATGATCTAAAATTGAGAGAAAATCGGCAAGAGAGAGAAGGGAGAAAGAAGAAGAAGAGAAAAGAAGGGAATTAGAAGAAAATAGAAAAGAGTTGAAGGAAATAAGTTTAAAGGTAAGATTATATATAAATATGTGTTGATTAAGTTTTAATTTTGGTTTTGATAAATGTTAGGGTTTTGAAAATTTGTGTTTTGGGTTTGATTGATGAATTAATTGAATTTTATGGGTTGATTGTTATGGGTAATGGATTATTTGGTGGATTTTGAGAGATTGAATTGAAAGATGATGATTTTGAGTTATGATTTTGTTTGAATGGTGAAATTATGTTAGAAATAAGGAAAGAACAGTGGGTTTCTGTTGAAATTCTGGGTTGGAGGTTGAAGATGATGAAAATTCATTTTGGTCCTTCAATTTGTGGAAATTACAGTTTAGTCCCTAAACTTTGAAAAATTTACAGATTGGTCCCTGGGGCATATTCCGAGATTCTGAACAGAATAAAAGATAAATTATGGTATTCCGAGATTCTGAACAGTCCCTGGGGCATATTCCGAGATTCTGAACAGAATAAAAGATAAATTATGGGCAGAATTCCTGTATAGTTATGAAATTTTAACACTTTCAATTTGGTCCTTCAATTTGACAAAAATTACCATTTAGCCCTAAAAATTTGATAAAATTCCAGAATGGTCCCTGGAGTATAATGAGATGATCTGGACAGAAATGAGGATTGATTATGGTCAGAATTTCAGTATATTCATGGATTTATGATAAGTTTAGTTTGGTCCTCCAAATGGATTAAGTTACAATTTGACCCTTAAAAATATAATAAATTACAGATTAGTCCCTAGCTGTAATATTAGCTTTTGCAGATGTGTTTGATGAATAATTGAGGGTTAGTTAGTGAAGTATTACCAATTTTATTATTTGTTTTATTGCGGATTAGATTTTGAGAAAATCGTTAATTTTTGGGTTTTTGGAATATAACTAATTAGTTCAAAAATATATAGGGTTATGGAATATATACTTAAATAAGTGTATTAAATAGGTTATATATTCTTTTGAGTCATTCTTGAATATGTTTTCTTTATATTCAGATAATCCTGATATTCTACCGGCGGGACGTCAGTAGGATTTTCTTCGGTGTTTGCTTTTGATTTCTGTTTGCTTTCGAGTCAGGTGAGTGGATAATTTTCCATATGCATGAGAAATATTATAAATATTTGTTTTGTTAATATGAATTGGATCATGCTTCTTGATAATATATATGGTGATTATTATCCTTGTTATGATAAGCATGATCATTTATTGAATCCGAATTCTTGATATGAACCAGTATGTATTTTGAATTGACTTATGAATTGATAGATTGACTTCTGAATTGATAGATTGACTTATGAATTGATAGCTCCTCATTTGATTGATGTCATGAGTTGAGCCTTGAGATATTAATATGTCTGTTTGATTATGATTATAACCCTATGGTATGTTAGTCAGAATACCCATGCTAACAGGGTAGTGTTAGTCTTTGTGCACATCGTATCTGAACCCTAGTTGGTCGGGGGAGTCACCAACCTGTGTGGACTGATCATCCCACAGTACGGAGCCTCATGCTCATTGCATTTTGATTTTCTGACGATTTTACCATATGATATTCTTGTTATGGCCTATTTGAGAAACCTTTTTATAAGAACCTAAATTCATACTTGTATATATATTTCTCATTATTGTATTATTTCTTGTGTGTATATTGAACATTATCTACTCACTGAGTTGTTAAACTCACACTCTAATTATTTATCATTTTCAGGCTTATAGCTTGATAGCAGGTCACTTTTGTTGGACCTTCAGAACCTGCTCTTTTGGTTGTAATCCGTGCATTTTCCTTTATGTCTAATTAGTGCTCCAAAACTATAAAATTATATTAACTCTTGTATTAAGACAATTCAATTATATTATGAAGTTGATTTTGTTATTAATGCTGCGTTGAACTCTGATTGAGTTAGGATAAATTTGTATGTAAGTTTGGGTTCGCATAGGTACGGAACCTTGGAGGGGAACCTTGCCTATGTGCCGGTCATGGATCCGGGATTCGGGTCGTGACAAAAATCTCATCTAATATCTATTTAAAAGGAAAATAGGTGGGATCCAACACATTTCTCAGGCTTATCAAGAGCAATGGCTCATCTTTATGGCTAGTACCGGTACTTGGTAACATGGTGGCGCAGCCACAGGTCATACATGACCATATGAAATGCATCATATTTTACTGGAGATAAGTTCCACTGAAAGTGCTTCTGGACCTGATTCAGTGAATTCAAGAAATTTACAAGCAAAATTTAATACAATTCTCAGAAGCATTTTCCAGAGTGAATTTTACTGACAAGTGAAGTAGATATACCATGAATGTGTGATTCTGCAGAGATTCATATGTTTGCTTTGGTATATCCTGAAGGATTTTCTTTAGCGAATAGACATCTTTCTCCTTCAGTATTACAGAAAATTTCCTCCAATCAAGAATGTCGTTGAATGGTAAATCATAGTAGTCAGATAAGATAACTGCAGAGAGATCCAAATAAGACCATCAAGCTGCAAATTCAGAAAATCCAGTGCTGAGAAGAGATGAAAGAAGAACTGATCTATCACCTGGAATGCACCCATAGTGAATTGCGAATGCTATAAAACCATCAAGCTGAGGGCCTCCAGGACAGATGCAAAACTTAGAATTGTAGAAATCCTCACGGGCTTGCCAATGTCCTTGTTCAATACTAGTAGGCCAATCTCTGGCTTCGATGTAAAGTTCTGAGTCATACTCCCAGGTGAGGTACAGCTGCTCTCTTATATAAGAATCCTCAACACCACTCCAGAAACCCAGCATAGTCCTGAAACATATACATGCTGTTTAGCTTTATGGTAGTTATGTTCCTGGCATGACAGAATTCATCGGGTTAAGAAATAAAAGTTGCCTGTTCTTTTCTATATTTCTGGCTTCAGTATAAGCATATGGCTGCACACTTTGTGGGAGGGAAACATCCTTATGAGGAACATATTTACTATTATAACTAGGAGAACACATGAGTCCAATTGAGTTCTTTAAACGGTCAGCAATTCGTGCAGTAGCAGCCACATCAACTTCTGAGCAGCTTACAAAGAAGTGATCGGCACCTAAAGTTCGGTTCCAGTAAGGGTACTTGGAAATAAGGAAATTGACAAAATCCTGAACAGCAATAGCCCTTTCTTTCTTGGATTTTTCCTGGGCATAGAATTATGAATATCAGAGGCATTGTATAACGAATCAGAGAAGCATGCCAATGTACGGACAGCGATGCTTAAGAAAATGAACTAAGAAAGCAATCTGATACTGCGAAAGAAAATGTAATTAATCTTCTTTTTTCAACTAAATTCATCATCAAAAGTTCAAAAGCCTCCCTATAATTTAATTAGTAATAAAGAAAAACACTACAGCACAAGGAAAACCATCATCACCAAAATTTGTCCATCCAAGATAACTTCTTGTAATCAGAATTCAAGAAACACATCTGCTAAAATCTCTTTTTTAATCATATTGATATACCTCAGGAGACATCGAATGACAATAAATAGGAATGAAGAAAAGGTGAGCCTTTTCAGGATCTTTGGTCAAGAACTGACTGTGATTGAGATTGTGATAGAAGTATCCTTCACCCCTAAAGCAGCCAAGCACCGTTGGCCTATTACAGGCAGTAGAACGCTTGTCTGTGTTATGGGGATACACAAAGATCTTGAAGTTCTTCTCCATTTCCTTATAATCCTTTTTGAAAGCGTCAGGAGTATGGAAGAGTTCAGAAAAGATTTCTGGATCTGTAGCATTTTCTTTCAATGACCGCGCCAGCACCTATATATGAAAAGGCCTAATCTTTAAAGAAAATATAAATGAATAGTGTAGAAAATGCAAGAAAATGAGGGAAAGCACAAGAAGAGAAAATACGAGAAAGCGAGTACCTGAAGAGAACTTGGGAATTGAGGGTGATATATTGAGAAGCAGATTGAAAGAATAACCAAAAAACAGGAAAGTCCTCGTTGAAGATTGTTCATGATGGTTTTTTCTTGGGAAAATTTGAAGAGTGAAACTTGCCAAATATTTTATTAGGCTCGAGGAGTAACAGTGTGAAGGCTTATGGTCTATATATTGTGCTTTTTATCTAGAGAAATGGAGGGGGAGATAGAGAAGAGGATTGGGTTAGAAAGTTAGTTAATTGGAAGGGAGGGAGGGAGGGAAGGAAGGAGGGAAAACAGTGGCAGTTGGATTAGTTAGTTGAAAGATACTCCTTGTAGTCTCTTCCAATCTGCAATGCTGAACCAAAAGGATGCGCAATGTAACGTTTTGAATTAAAGAGATAAGAAAAGGCTATAAAGCCCAGAAGATATAAATATAAAAATAAATAAATAACAGGTATCATGATAATTTAATAAAATTTAATAAATAGAAATAGAAAAAAAAAGAAAAATTAAAAATTAAAAGTGAAAAACTAACGAGAAAAGAGAAGAAAAAAAAAGAAGACAAAAGGAAAATTAAAAGAGAAATAAAAAGGAGTTGGAGAAAACATAAGTTTAAAGATAAAATTATGAATAACTATGTATTTTTTATGCTATGAATTTATGTTTTGGTTGAATGTTAAGGTTTTAAAAATTGTGTTTTGAGTTTATTGATGAATTAATTTAAATATTATAAGATTGATTGTTGTGGGTAATGAATTGGTAGTTAAATCATGAGATAACAGTGGTTAATATGTAGAAATTTTGGTTTGAGATTGAAGATGACACAATTTTGGTTTGGTCCCTCAATTTATGGAAATTACAATTTAGTCCCCAAACTTTGGGAAATTACAAATAGATCCCTGGAGCATATTCCTAGATTCTAAACAGAATAAAAGATGAATTATGGGCAGAATTCCTGTATAGTTATGAAATTTTAACACTTCAATTTGGTCCTCTAATTTGATAAAAAATTACAGTTTTACCCTAAAATTTGGAAAAATTCTAGAATGGTCCCTGGAGTATAATGAGATATTATGGACAGAATTGAGGATTAAATATGATCAGAATTTCAGTATAGTCCCTGGAGCCTTCAATTTGACAAAAGTTACAATTTGACCCTTTAAAATATGATAAATTTCAGATTAGTTCCTAGTTGTAATATTACCTTTTGCATATTGGTTTGATGAATAATTGAGTGTTATTTAGTGAATTAGTACCAATGTTTTTTTTTTTTTTATTATGAATTAGATTTCAGAAAATCGTTAAATTTTGAGTTTTTGAGAAAATTAACTAGTTAGTTAAAAAACATATAGGATTATAGAATATACCCTTATATAAATATATTAAATAGGTTAAATGTTCTTTCAAGTCGTTCTTGAATATGTCTCCTTTGTATTTATATAATCCTGATATTTTACTAGCACAATGTCAATATGATTTGTTTTTGTGTTTGTTTTTAACTTTTGTTTATTTTTTAGTAAGGTAAGTGGATAATTTTTTATATATATGAGAAATATTATAAATATTTTATTTATTAATATGAATTGGATCGTGTTTCTTGATAATATATATGCTGATTATTATCTTTATTATAATAAAACATGATTAATTGTTGAATCTGAATTCTTGATATGAACCAATATATATTTTGAATTGACTTCTGAATTAATAGCTCCTCATTGTCACATATTGTGTGTGTCATAGAAGAAATTTTTTTAATTTAATTTTTTATTAAATTACTCTAACTTATTAAAGAATTATTAATAAAGTTTCTTAGTATTTTTTATATTCTTCATTCATGTTTGGTTATTGGTGCCTAGTGCTCATATGTTTTCAATTACTAGTAGTTAAAGATGCCAGCACGCAGGCCATTTTATTTTATTTGACGGAGAGAGAAACATGCACAACTTTTTAATTAATACACAAATCTAATTCTAACATTTAATCAGTAATTAATCGTGTATCTCTTAGCCATAAATATCCGAATTCACATGATTTCATATTGTGAACAGATATGATAGCACGAGAGTGACAACTAGGCAGGAATTAATGGACCCACTTAGAAAATGATAAATATTATTTTGATATAATTTTTAATAAAAAAATAACTTTTTAAAAAATTACTACTGTATTTTAAAAAACCCTTTACCGTTAATTAGCTCAAGCTTAGCTCTCCGTTGTTGTTAAAGAGAAATTAACTAAGCATCCCTTTTCGTCTTCTACAAATCATAGACTCTAATTTAAATCTTTTTATAACTTCTCAAAAATAGCAACGCTAAACATCTTAAACAATAAAAAAAAAAACATGATAGATAAATAAATAAATAAATACTAAATAAACTCAACACTAGCTATTTTATTTATATTTTAGGGTTATTAGAATAATAAATATTTGTAAAAATATTTTTTATTTAAAATTATATTGAAATAATTTTTTAATTTATTTTTAATATTAACCCATTAAAACTGAAGAGAAAGTTTAGGTTTCTGTTAAGGAAATAATTAGGATTTGCATTTAGTTTAATAACTCCTAGTTCATAGGATTGTTAGTTAATGTTTTCCATGATTTTCTACGTGAATATCTCCTCTGCTGAGATTATGTAAGGTTGTATAAAATCAATCTTTTTCTTCAATAATAATAATTGATTCTGAGCCTGCATTATTGTCATTTTCTACAACATTGTGGTATTAAAGCCTTTCTACTTAAATCAAAGCAGTAGTCTTTGAGTTTTCTTTGCAGCAGCAAAGAAACATGACACCGGAAGGAAACTTTGTGCAGCCAGCCATTCCTCGTTTTAATGGCTATTATGACCACTAAAGCATGTTGATGGAGGATTTCTTGCGCTATAAGGAATATTGGGGGTTGATAGAAAATGTCTATGTTAAGACTGAAAGTGACATAGAACAGACATAAATGCAATGAAAGAGGATTGATGAGTTAAAGCTGAAAGACATGAAGGTGAAAAATTATCTTTTTGAAGCCATAAATCGGACGATATTGGAAACCATCCTTATAACAGATACTTCCAAACAAATCTGGGAATCAATGAAAAAGAAGTATGAAAGAAGTGCTAGAGTCAAAAGATCACATTTGCAAGCTCTCCGTAGAGAGTTTGGAACCTTAGAGATGAAAGTTGGTGAAGGAGTCTCTGAGTATTTCTCAAGAGTACTAACAGTTGCTAACAAAATGACAACATATGGAGAGCGAATGACTGATGTTACAGTGGTGGAGAAAATTCTCAAATCATTGAGTGAGAAGTTTAGTTATATTGTCAGTTCAATTGAAGAATCCAAAGATATTGATCAACTCTTAATTGATGAACTCTAGAGTTCCTTGATTGTCCAAGAGCAGAAATTCAAGCGTCACATAGAAGAAGAACAAACACTCAAGATCACCAATTCTAAAGATAGATTCAATGCCAGAAGACGAGGGTGAGGTGCATACAGAGGCAAAGGTAGAGGGAGAAGCAGTCAGTTCTACAACAACAAAGCAACAATAGAGTGTTTTAAGTGCTATAAGCTTGGACACTTTCAATATGAGTGTCCAAGCTGGGATAAAGAAGCTAACTACGCTAAATTAGGAGAAAAAGAAGAAATGCTACTCATGTTATATGTGGATATGAATCATGCTCGAAGGGAAGATGTCTGGTGTTTAGACACTGGGTGCAGTAACCATATGTGTGGTGGCAAGAGCCTATTCCATATGATAAATGAGAACTTTAGACAAAAGTTGAAGTTGAAATAACATAAGAATAGATGTGTTGGGAAAAAGCAAAGTGAAATTGAAAGTGAATGGTCTAACACATGTTGTTAGTGACTAACGTATTTTTTATCCCTGATTTAAAGACTAATCGTCTTAGCATTGGTCAAATTCAAGACAAAGGGTTAACAATCCTCATTCAACATGGATATATGAACATCTATCATCCGGAGAAAGGGCTTATTATACATACTGAAATGACAGCTAATAGGATGTTTTTACCGTTAACAAATTCACTACATCAGAAACCAGCCTGTCTTTATAACTCAATAATAGATTTAGCACATTTGTGGCACTATCGATATGGATATTTGAGCTACAAAGGATTGAGAGCTCTTTAAGTAAAGAATATGGTGCATAGGATACCTTAGTTCTAGATTCCATCAATAGTATGCGCTACCTGCATGAGAAGCAGCACATAGATCTAATTCCAAAGCACAATAATTGGAGTGCCACAAGGAAGCTTTAGCTCATCCATGCAGATATTTGCGGACTGACATCTCCTATTTCTAACAGCAAAAGGAGGTACATTATATGCTTTATTGATGACTTTACTAGAAAAGCATGGACTTATTTCTTAGTAGAGCAATCTAAAGCATTACATATGTTCAAACGTTTTAAGAATTACGTTGAAAAAGAAATAGGAGGCTATATAAAATGCTTAAGAACAGATCGAGAAGGGGAATTCACATCCCTAAAATTCAATGAGTATTGCATTAAGCATAGTATCAAGCGGCAATTGACAGCAGCATATACTCTACAGCAGAATGGAGTAGCTAAAAGAAAAAACAGAGCAATAATGAATATGGTTCGCTGTATGCTAACTGAAAGGAGAATTTTCAAAAATCTCTGGCTAATGGTAGTAAATTGGACAATATATGTTCTCAATCGAAGTCCTACTTTGACAGTTCAAAATCAAACACCTAAAGAAGCTTGGAGTGGCATTAAACCTTCAGTAGAACACTTCAAGATCTTTGGATGCATGACTCATGTACATATTC